TGTGTGTGTGTGTGTGTGTGTGTGTGTGTGTGTGTGTGTGTGTGTGTGTGTGTGTGTGTGTGTGTGTGTCTCTGAGAGCTGTGGGTGGAAGATAGCATCAGAGAGGAGAGAGCAGAGAAAAAGTGAGAGAAAAGCAATGAGGTGTGCAGAGGTGATTTGCCAGGAGAGAAGTGCAGAGAAAGGGCAACGAAGAGGGGGCAGGAATCTCTTTATCATCATCCTAAGGCTGAGAAAGGGGAGGTGTAAAACGGGGACAAGGGGAGAAGTGTCTGGGAGAAAAAAGATAAGCAATCCCTTTCCTCAAAGTAGTTTGAAACAAGATGCCACTGTTGTGCTTTTCGCTCCTCGGGATGGCTTTTTTATTCATTCAACAATACCATTGTTTGCACAGCAGGCTGCTCATCTCACAGTGCAGCGCCTGGTATTTTGTAATATAACAACTTGAAGTCAATAATGCGACTTGCATTGACTTACTTGTATGTTTTGACGTTGTGTTGAGCGGCCTCTGGAAAGCCAAGCATCCCACACACCACACGGCTGCTGTTCAGACTCCAACCCAGGTCGCACACCTGCCTCCATCTCCCAGCATGCTTCACTTCCACTACGCCCTCTGTGATAAGGCTCTTTTTCTTCGTAGCCATGAGGATGGGGCGAAGACGGACTTCTTCTATTTGCACCTTGCTGTGACCCTTTCAAAAGAGACACGGCGTACATGATCACATGCCTGTCTTGGAATAATGATAACAACGCAGCAGACATAAACAGCTGTACCTGGTAGTGGTGGGGTGGTCGATGGACTCTGGGAATCTCATACGGATGTCCATTGCCATAATACCCATATCCTGGATGCCTCTGGGTTGCGATGTTAGCCCCCCATTGAGGCGCATGGCTGACCAAAGGTCTGGCAGCAGTCGTGTGACCTCTGTTGGTGGGCTGATCCACCCGGTGCTCGGGTGTGCACACAATCCCCAAGTCTTCAGAGTGCTTGCAGTCATTCACCCCCCATCCATTGTGCTTGCAGTCTTTCAAGGACTTCTCTGAGCCGTCGCACCGTACGTTATCCATCCATATCGGTCCTTATGAAACAATAAATTCACAACTTTATTAATTACGAATTGTTCAGTGTGCATCTACCCAGCAGCTCAACTCACTTTGCTAAACGTCTAACACCCGACTTTTGTGGGCAGGCTGATTTAGGATTGTGCCCTAGCAGCGTGTTTAGCAGGAGAAACACCATACTTCACGAGATGGCGAGGCACTGTAGATCCTGCTCCCTAAATCTATTCAACCTTCGCTTTAATTTGGATTTAAAAGCAGCAGTAAAAAATGTCCATAAACCACCTGCAAGTGTTGCACAACTCTGGCAAACCAATGCAGTCATTATTCTCAAACAAACGCCCCCACCTTTTTTTTTTGCTCGTATATTTGCACCCCTGGTGGACCTTAACAAGACGTAGGTTCAAATCCCAAAGCAAGTTCTCTTTGTCTCTTTATGATGTTTGTTATTTTGGATGCCTTAATTAGTAGTGTTTGCATAAAGCTATGCAAGTGAGTCCGAAGCTCAAAACAATGTGGCAAGAAAGATTTTAAAGGATACCATTTGGGATAAAGGGATCTAATAGGACTTTCTACCACAGCTCAATATGTTTAGAAAGTGGGTCTTCTCATATTTAAGAAAAGGCACCAAGCAATACATTTAATAAAAGAAACCCCTCATTTTATCATTTTGAAATAATATTTTATATCACAAGGAAAAAAACTGAGGTATCTCAAAACTTGCTAAAATAAATGATCAGTTTGGCCTCTCTTGGCTTAATTTAGCAGTTTGGTGAACTTTCTCACCCGTTCCCTCTCCATACTTGGCGCTGTGAGCCCACGTCACGGCTCCTCGGAAGCCCAGCTCTCGGCACACCACGCCGACCAGCTTTATGTCCACCTCGTCGTCGCAGACGGTCCCCCAGGTGTTGTTGTGCAGCACCTCCACGCGCCCTTCGTTCGCTTCCCGCGCAAAGTTTCCCGCCAGTCGCACCTTGGAGGCCGGCGCCCGGGCCACCCTGCGCTGGGGGGTGCGCCGGGGCTCGGCGTGCGCGGTGCAGCTGAGGGACAGCAGCAGCAGAAGGAGGTGGGCGCTCAAGCGGAGGGAGCAGGTCATCCTGAGGGAGAAGAGGAGTCCTGGAGGTAGAGGTTGGTGACTCAGTTAGGCAGATTTGTCAAATTGCACCGTGAAGCTAATTATATTCAGCTAAGGGTGCAGAACTGACAGAAAAGTTACATATATTGACAAGCATTTCATTAATTTAAAAACTGTGAATAAAGTATATGAGAAACTTCTATAAAACAGACATTCACAGAGTTGTGTACACTTTCTTATGAAGAATTTAGCTCAGAGACAGATCTGTAACCTATCTGCAGACAATCAAGGACGGTAAGGATTTAGCTTCTGTTGCATTTCCACTTTTGGTTTGCGACACAGCTGCAGCCGGAGCCTCAGAAAGATGCCATCCACATCAAATCAAGACTTTTCACTCGTGTCAAACAAAGACGTATAATTAGAGCTCCAGCAGCGTGCTTTTGTGAGGCAATTTACTTGAATAAACATCCCTCGGGGCAAAACAACCAGACAGAAATATAAGAAGTGGTGCTGAACAAGTGCTGCAGCCAAACACAGTGGTGGAGAGAGTTGCTTAAAACTCAAACACACAGGAAGCCACAGGAAAAGACAGCACCCAAAATTTCCTAAATACAAGTGTGTGTGTGCTTGGAGGAGAAAATGACAAGTAAATAGGTTTTTGAGAGAAAACCTCAGAAAAACAGACTGATTGCTGATAAGAGTGTTAAAAGTTATCTCTTAACTAATTCCAGTAGTTATTGCTCAAAGACAAAAATAAAAGTTGTCAGAGCATCCTGTGGCTTTCATCCACCTGTTACACTCTGATTAACCTGCTGTCACAAACAAACAAATCCAATCAACTTTTTAAAAACAAGGCCCATTTAAGAGTTTATTCTTCGCTCTGAAATTTCTAATAAACGTGAAGGTGAAAGTTCACTCACCTGGCAGGCTGCTAATGTGGTGGATGTCGGTGGCGAGGAGAGAGAGTGAGCGTGTGAAGGAGTGTGTCTACTAAATGCTCTCCTTAGTCATTCCTCTCCTCCTCCCTCCTCCTCCACATATCCCTCCCTGCCTCCCTTTTTCCTTTCCTTTTTTTTCTCGCTGCCTCCCTCCTCTTTCTCTCTGGATTTCTTCCTTTCATGATAAAATGTGTAAAGGTGAAACTGTCTGCATTTTGTTTTATTTAAAGTCTGAAAACATCAGTGGTGGATCAGCCATGATTTAATTTTTTTATTGTATATCTGTGCTGACTTTTCTTTAGCTAAACATTTCTTTTTGTCATAACTAAAACAAATTAAACACATTTTAAACACTAAGACTGGTTAATTTCAGGATTTCTAAATACCCACACAGAAATTACTGTACACTTTAAGCACATTGTTTTTAAACCACATGTCCCTGTTTAGGACATTTTCAATTCATTTTTTTTTCAATTCAATTTTTTTTATTTCATTAAAAAATATACAATAAAAAAAACAAAGAAAATACAAAAATCAAAATAAAATGAAAGGTAGCAGAAAAAGAATAAGTCTTATAATGTCTGCCCCTTTTAAATTTGCACCTCTGCCCTAAAGATGGCTTCCACGACTGGCCCCTCAGCACATTACACAACTTTAGGTTAAACGTGTGTAAAAGTAACCTACAGGAAGGACTCTGCTTCCAGAATAGTTTCAAATGTTAAGTTACAAGTGTCTTAAAGAAGCTCCCTATACCACAGGGTAGATATTTCCTTGTTGAGATGGCCACAAACCACCAACTTAAAAATAGTCTGAGCTTCACCGTAGCTATGGTGAACRCGACTGATGAGAATATGCTCCACCACCCTGACCCAGGAGTATGTTGCAGTCATATATATCATTGTGGTGTGGGGAACATAAAGCTTTAAGTGATCAGAGCAGAGGGTAATTAAAACAGACCCGTCCAGCCAGGTCTTGATCTGACTAAGGCCTCAACCAGAAAACCTCTCTGCATCTTTCAAACTTGTTTGTTTGTTCTTCGAGCCATTTTTAGAGGATTTTGGGACGAAGTTAGTCACGTTGGAAAATGTTGGCGTCAGGGGTGTTGTGTTGATAAACTGTATTTTAGTTCTCAAGCAAACCTCAGTGGGCACCTTTCTAAGGCAACACGGTTTATTCATAGACATGAAAAATGGCAATTATGACAGGGGGAGGTAGGAACTTAAACATCAGCCGCTGCTGATGAAAAAATGCTTAACACTTTGCAGATTCCCAGCAGTGTCCGTACGAGTCGCACACATCAAACAAACATGACTTTTCAGCATCCTCATCTTTTGAAGCTGTAATAGAGATGTTTGTACGACCCTGTGACGGTGCCACTGGGTGGCAATGTGGCGGTCCCTCCCATACTGTTAAACCAGAGCAGGAAGACCAGACCCCCCTATTAGCGAGGCCAAATCAGAGGGAAATCCAAGGCCGTCAGGAAATACGAGCTGTAAGAGAGGAAAAGCAGAAGGAAACAGGGGTGCTAACGTTTAAAAGTAAAACTATCGCCACTGTGTTTGACATCCATCCATTATATTTTATGATAACAGTCTTTCATGTCAGACTAAATAAACTAGGCCAGACAGGTGTCGCTGTCTGTGAGATGATTTTTCAGGGCTCTGAGAGAGCTCCTTGGACAATCTGAGTGAAGCAGGTCTCTGCGGCAGAGGGCTCTCTCATTACACAAACCGAGCCAGCTCTGCCCTTACCCACAATCTGTGAAGGCATGAAATAAATACATGCTGTCCAACAATAAACAAGTGCCTTTTCAAATGACAGTACCTCCTCATGCGCAACCAGACTGCAGTCTCTCTAAACTTACAGGATGCGTTTGCTTTTAACTGGATATAGAAGCGAGTGGGGACAAGGAGAGTGCAGAGAGCTGCAGCTGCATAAAGACTGATCATATAGAATTTTGCACTAAAGGCAGATTATATATAGTGGCAATCAGAGTCTCAACTTTTTCTTCCAGTATGTGCTTCTGGTTAAGGATGTAAGCCAGTATTTTCTTTAGTAAATGTAAATTAGGACGTAAAACCCAATGATATTTAAATGTCACAAAGTCGTCTGAAATGCAGCAGGTCACCCGTTGATGACAGACTGCTTAAANCTCCCTTCTGAAGCTGCTGCCCCCGCGACCCGACCCCGGATAGGCGGAAGAAAATGGATGGATGGATGGATGGATAAATAAATAAAAGAAGAGATCTAAATTTTTATGATTTCTGCACCAGGGTTGAGTAAAAGTAAAAAAAAAAAAAAAAGAATATCCTGGTATTTTCCTGTTTGTCGCCCAAGGTCTTAAAGAGCCCATGTCATGTCCATTTATAGAATCATAACATTATGGTGCATTTTTTTTAAAAATGTATGTTATACATTTTAGTCTAAACATATTTTCTGTGTAATAATTGTGCTCTAGCACTCCTCCCTCAAGACTCGGTCTCTTCTGTTTAATTTTTTTTTAAATTATTGGCAGCTGATCATTCTTGGCCTGGGATATGTAGAAAAAGCTCCTTGGACGTAGTATTTAAATGGTTGTATTGAAAATGTTCATCAAAGGAAGAAAAGCCTGAAAAACAATATGTTGCATTTAGCTTGAAAGGAGAGCACTTTGTGGAAGAAACTAAATCACTGTTATAGACTCCAGGCTTGTTATTTTGCAAGTTTTTTGAATGAACTGAAAATAACACAAATTACCCATTACATTATGAGCAGATGTGCATAATAAAGTTCATTATCCAAGGACAAACTGACCTGCTGCAGTATTCTGTGATTCACATACATTAATTGTTTTAATTTGTAGTTTACACTAAAATATTGGCAGATGCATATTTTGTTAAAATTGTTCTGAAAAACATAAGGGCCAACTAACCCCACATTATTTATGAAGTTCCACAGTTGAGATTTATTTACGTTGTTTGTGGTCAAATTGATAAAAAACAATAATAATTAACAAGACAGATCTAAAACTCAAAATAGTCATTCAAGTAGCCAACAACAAACGTATTTTTATACATTTGTATTATCATTTTTGAAATAAATAACTTGTAGCTGCCATAATTTCTAAGCAGAAATGTCACAAAGGACATCTGGGTTAACAGATTTTTACAAATAGAAATTAATTTAGCTGTTATGTTTCTTTGAAGAATAACACGCAGCAGTACTAAAACTAGTAACAGATAAAATCTCATTAAGTAAAAGCTTTGCTTAAGTTTGTAAATGACTCGTTTTCAGGGAGAATTTAAAAAATGAGAATGTGTTGCAGTGAAAAGGTGCGCCCTCTACTGGTCAGAAGTAATAAGCAAGGTAAGAGATTGTCATTGACTTAACTTTTTTAAAGTTTAGCTGATTTGAGAAAAATACTCTTCAAAGTTACTTTTACACATTAAATTCATTTAGCAAAAAGCTCAGTGCAACATATATACACTCAAAAAACAGATGTCAGATTTACTTAAATTATGTCAACAGGTTCCACTCAACTGAATTGAAAAAAATGTAACATTTACTTCACATTCACTTGTAAAATTTAAAAATTGCTTTACAATATCTAAATCCAGTTGAGTTGAACCTGTTGACATAATTTACATAAATCCAATGTGTTTTTTTTTTTTTTTTGAGTGTATAACATTTTCAAGCAAATAAGTTAGTAAGGTCACAAGGCTAATGGGTGAACTAAAAAAAAAAAAAGAATATCAAACTTCTTAGAATTTGGAACCGAATACATGAAGCTAAACAATGCTCTGTTATGCTTCGTCATTTAAAAAAATCCACATTTCAGATCAGAATATGTGTTGTGAAAGTGACAATTCATACAACGGTTTTCACAAGTTTACTACACGTTTGAATGAAGAAACTAAACTTGATAAAAATGTTGCAATATGTGGCGTGTCTCTTCATTTTGCAACATGCTGCAGTCTCACACTTGCAAAGCCTGCACATGTATCAGCTGGCAGCAGACCTCAGCTCCTCTATTTAAAATGTCATCTGTGGTATTCAGGCTGCTGTTCCCACGCATTCTCAGGGCCGCTTCCATCTTCCTTTGGTCTGGGTGGTCACATGGTCCCTAATGCACGCTCCATGTTGGCCACACAAGTGTCTCCTGGTAGTGATGAGAGAGTTACCATGCTGCCCCCCCCACCCCCCCCACCCCGCACACCAACATGGCCTGCTGTGATTTACTGTCAAGAATGTGAGCATCAGAAGTTACTTGAAAAAAATTGTTTCCTCATGATTAAAAATTTAAAAAACGACTGCGTCAAAAGTGAGTTGGACATCAAGTGTGACTCTGCCACCTTGTGGAGAACAAGAAAACTTTAAAATATATATATCCTGAAGCATCAACTCAGTTATACAGGTTTATTAAATATAAAACTCTTATTTGCAGTACAGTAATACAAAATTTTAGAAAGATTCATTAACAGAATTACAGTTTGAATTAAAAATAGGTGTATAAATTAAAAAGGGGCATTCAATTGAACAAGTTGGAAATGATGAACAGAAACTAAAAGCCAAGAAATAAAACAGTAATAGACCAAAGTGACATATCTGTACAAGAAAAATATAAGAAAATGTGCAGAAAAAACAAACAAACTATAATTTACTGAGAGTCACTTTAAAATTTTACAAAGCACCAATCAATAAAGATTTGAGCTAGGATGTTAAAGAAACAAAAATGGTATTAATGTTTGGTTTCTAAATCTGTTGTCACAAGTTTTAGCCACAAGAACAGAAACTTAAAAAAAAGCAGAAGTGCAGCATGTGACAGAATTTGTGCCAACTGTCTCTTAACGTAAGCCATAACCAGAAATTAGATGCATACATTTGTAGAGTTTAATCACAATGTTAAACATAAACAGTAAAGGAAAGCTTTATATAGATAGAAAAGTCTACTATTTCAAAATAAAATAAATGTATAAATAGCTAAATAAATACTCTTACTACGCAGTGCATAGTTTACTTGTGAATGTAGTGTGGACTTGGGCTGTAGTTGTCTAGTGGGTGATGCAAACACATGCCACAGGGCTTGGAATTCATGGTCTAGTGTCGGAAATTAGGAAATAAAGCCTTCAAAATCTTTAGCTCACTGAAATACTGTAATAGAGGTCCTTAAGATCATAAACACTGCTTTTAAAAAGCTCAAAGTGTCTTTGTTTCAACAATCTTGCTCTTTACATATGTGCACATGATTATTTGTCCCAGAGGTGATAAACCTGTGTGTCTGACTTTTCAGATATGAGGATTTCAGAAGAAACTTACAATAAAAATAAACTGGTTAAAAATCTTCCATGAGTTTGGTACGTGGGTCAGTTTTTGTCTCAAGTCACACAATGAATAGGATGAACAAGCAAACAGAAGCAAGTCATATGTCATAATTCTTAGTTCATACAATCCAGATCAACAAAACAACAAAACTGCTATATAGAGAATACTTATCAGACACACTTACTGTAAATACTGAGCACTACAGCCTTTCTGAGTAGCAGTACTGTTTTTACTGGATTACACATTATCAAGTTTTGTTAAGTTTTGATGTTATAACATCCTCCAGTTATTACACAAAGCCCTACAAAACTGTTCATATTACTCGTCTGATATACAACAAATGTTGAACTTTAAATGTAAGGCCAATTGGTAAATAAATTAAGTGAAATTTGTGATTGACCTACATAGACAACCAAACTCAATCTAACTGTACATCATTTGGCCATTACCATACTAAGGCTACGTGGAACAGTTTCGAGGCCTATTTCTAGGTCTCTTTAGCTTACAAAATTCATTTGCATAGGGGAAGTACTGAAATGTCAAGTAATACCACTTAGGTCTTTGGTTTGGTTCTGACAATGGCACAAGAACAGGTATTACTGGCAGACTGGTGTGAGACGAGAGCAACAGCTCCACCAAGATTATTAAATTAAGATTAAAATAAAAAAATGTATTTATGCAAAATTTGGGTCAAATGCTGCTTTTGTAGTGGATGGAGGAAGGATCCTGACACAAAAACAGCCACCCTGAGGCTCATTTATAATACCAACTGTGCATGACAAAGCGATGACTTTCTACTTCCTCTATAGTGGGCTAGTTTCACTTCCACCTAACTTCCATGTGATGCTGGGTTTAGTGTCCCTTAAAGAGGGAATAGGTCACTGTGTTTTATGAAGGCTGTGTACGCAAAGKTTTGTTGTTTCACCTTGTGCTTACTGTGAATTTTTAAACGGTATCAATTCAGGTCTTTATCTAAAATAGCCTTCATGCTCTCAGGTGTTTGTCTCATGTGACCATTCTTCACTTGGACCCTGATGTAAAAAGGGAGAGTTACAGTAAATACGAACATGTTTCTATCAAAACCTGCTGAGTCAATAAATACCAACTTTACGGGCACGTTTGGTGCATCTCTGCGTTTAAAAACTAAAAAGAAAAAAGAAAGCATAAACAAGTTCAAGGCTGCCACGGTTTCCTGTCCTTGCCTTTCTGATCAGGAATGTGTTTGTAGCGACATTTGTCTCCAAAGTGGCAGCCAGTGGTTCTCCAGAAGTAACACTCGTCTCCGTTCACTGGGCCACGTCTTCGAGGACTGAACAGACAAAAAGACGAAGCAGAGTGGGGGGAATGCACAAATTAGCTACTGCACAACTAAAACTACAAAAAAAAAGTTCTTTACTTTGGCTGCACAGGTGATGCTGCGTTCACACCGAAAACGTTTTCAGCGTCAAAAATGCGTCCAACACTTCAAGTTGGACGCTTGTGCACTTTAAGGTTAGACACTAACTGCCAGTCTCTGTGCAATGGTGGATGAAATTAAGAAAGTGGCTTTGCTTTATTTACTGAGAGCAAGAGCATGTCGAGCTCAATTCATAATTAAGTCACCAAATAATAATAATAATGTTTATTCATTCATTTCATTAA